AGATATGGCTAATACAATGTGTACTTTGGATTATCATAACATTCAACTTGTGCCTCTCCTCTGATACTTAACAGTTACTATATTTTGATAGCTCAACAGTTATTTGTATTTTATGATAGCAAACCCTCTGAGAGCAGAGATTCATTGGGTCTAGTTCATCCTTCTGTCTCTTTCAGAATATTCTTTTTAAAATATATTTTTATTAATTTCAGAAAGGAAGGGAGAGGGAGAGAGAGATAGAAATATCAATGATAAGAGATAATTATTGATCAGCTGCCTCCTGCACACCCCCTACTGAAGATTGAGCCCACAACTTGGGCATGTGCCCTGACCTGGAACCAAACCGTGACCTCCTGGCTCATAGGTTGACATTCAACCACTGAGCAACACCAGACAGGCTTTCAGAATATTCTTCCCATGATTTTCATGAGGTAGGAAGCCACTAAGAATAGAAGGAAGAAGGGAAATGAAGGAAAGAAGGAGAGGAGGAAGAAAGACAAAATGGATAAAGGTAGTGCGAAAGAAAAATAACATGATAAAAAGTGGGGAGTTTAGGATATGGAGGGAAAGGACAGAAAAAGTATAGTCAAATAATTTGAGTGTCTTTTTATGGCAATTGAGCACATGAATCTTTTTCTACCTCTATGTTCACATCTTCTTTCCTTTATTTAGAATATTTCCTCACTCATATCACTTGGGGAGATTAGCTTGGAAGAAGACTATAGAGTGAGTTAAAAGCCAAGCTAAGAGTCAACCACTGTGTCCTAGAGTTGATGGAGAATTTTAAAAAGTTTTGAGCACAGGAGCAATGTAGGCAAAGTGGTGCTTTTGAACCATGAATTAATAGTGATGTTGAGGATGAAACAATGGACAGCCTGGAAGCAGGAAGTACAGTTTTGGCATTTTGGCACAGACAGGCTTTGTCTTCTTGGCATAGAGCTAAGCTTTCTTTCCCTCACATCTAGATATGGCGATGTGACCGTCTTTATCAATGGATAATGAACAGATGTGGTCATTTTCAGTCTGAAGAAGTTAAAAGCAGATGTGTCTTCTCATACTGTTTATCTAAACTCCCATCTGCCAGTTCCATGATGTCAGGATACCATGAAGCTACAGATTCAAGATGGGGAAGCTGCCTAAGGAAGAAGGTGGAATCCATAAGTCATCACTTGGAAGAGAGCCACCCACCATGAAGTCATCTGTATTAGATTTTATGTGAGTGAGAAATAAAAGTTTATTTAGTCAAATGGCTGAGATCTAAGTGTTGTTTGTTACAACAGCTAGTGCCAATTATTCTAATTAAAATAATTGGGACAGGGACAGTATGTGGTGGTGATGACAAGGAATGGAGTATGGGCTGATGTATTGGAGAGAAAGACCCAAATTATAAAGTCATTACAGAGGAAAAATGGCAGAAGAATCAAGGATAACTTCAAAATGAGCCTGCAGACCCAGAGAAATTATCAACAGAAATAACAGTGTCCAAAAAAAGATCAGCTTTGGGGAAAAGAATGTACTATTCTTTACTTTAGACATGTTGAGTCTGATATATTATGGTATATGATGTAATGTAAATCCCTGCAAAAAAAAAAGAGTTGCAGAAGTAAATTGTGAGATAGAAAGAAAGGAAACGGGAGGGAATAGGGATGGAGAAAGCGAGCGAGAAAGAGATTGCGAAAGTAGAGGATTTAGGTCTTATAATAGAAAAGGTAACTGATATATTGGAGAGAAAGACACAAATTGGCTTAAACTTATGTATAGAAAGGCAACAAACCAATGAATTTTCTATTTTTTGAACAATAGCAAGAAAAAGTCTCATTTTTGCCACTAACTATGCATGGACCTTGGCTATGTTTTTTAAATTTTTATTATTTTTTAACCTTTTTTTGTTTACTTGCTTTTTTCTTTAAAATTTTGTCCTTTTTTTTATTGACCCCCTCCAACCCACACCTGCTCCCATTTTTTAACCTGTTTGAGTCTTATGTTCCTCACAAGAGGTTTGAACAGGATTTGAAACAGCTCTTTCAATCAGAAGCACATGGAGCTTTAAAAGTCCACAGGCCTGTGCCCCTTCTCAGAACTGCTACGCCAGAGTATCCAAGGTGTGGGTACAGCATGAGGCCCTTCCATGTCAGCAATTGCATCCCCTCAGTGGGGAGTGGGCAGCTTAGCCATGAATTTCACTTATAAAACTCTTACAAACACAGTGTCTCATTCCCCCTATTTAAAAGTTTTCACTGTTGCCCAGCTGGCATGGCTCAGTGGTTGAACATCGACTTATGAAACAGTTCAATTTTTGATCAGGGCACATGCCCAAGTTGTGGGCTCGATCCCGTGCAGCAGGAAGCTGATCAATGATTCTCATCATTGATGTTTTTATCTCTTTCTCCCTCTCCCTTCCTCTCTGAAATTAATTTAAAAAAATTTTTTTTTAAGTTTTCACCATCGAGTTGTGGGGTAGGCCTGATTTTTCGAAACCAATCTTGTGGCCAAAAAACATTCTTTTCTGGGAGGGGCGTTGAAGGGATGGGTGAAAAATGTGAAGGGATTAACAAGTACAACTTGGTAGTTACAGAATAGTCATGGGAATGTAAAGTGCAGCATAGGAAATATAGTCAATAAAATTCTAATAACTATCTATGGTGTCAGATGGATCCAAGATTTAACTGGATGATCACTTAGTAAGTTATTGAATGTCGAGGTGTACACCTGAAACTAATATAATATTGTATGTCAACTATAATTGAAAAATGAAAAATGACGTAATTTTTTTTATAAAAAGGAAACATATGAAGGCAGAAGCCTCCATCCTAACGCCTCCATCTCAGTAAGGCAAGAAGTTACACTTACCCAGCAACTAACAGGCATGTAGTACTGGTAGTTACAAGTGTGGACTGTGAAGTCAGATTGGGCTCAGATTCCCTCCTGCCCCTGGAAGCGACATAATGCTGAGGAGTTACTTCCCTGCTCCTTAGTTTTCCTGTATGTAAAATGGAACATGGACAGAAGGTAGCTTAGTGGGTTGTTATGAGATCAAATGAATCAATATATGCAAAGTGCTTGGAAAGTGCTAGAGCATGTCAAGTGCTTCATAAATGCTAACTATATCATTATCAAGCCTATAGACTCAGAACTCCTGGGGATAGGACAAAGTAAAGGGTAGACCAGTGATGGTGAACGTATGACACATGTGTCAGAGGTGACAGGCGAACTCATTTTTTTGGTTGATTTTTCTTTGTTAAATGACATTTAAATATATAAAATAAATATCAAAAATATAAGTCTTTGTTTTACTATGGTTGCAAATATCAAAAAATTTCTATATGTGACACGGCACCAGAGTTAAGTTAGGGTTTTTCAAAATGCTGACACGCCGAGCTCAAAAGGTTCGCCATCACTGGGGTAGACGGTAATACCTCTATCTGCTCTCATGGCTATGAGTATGGTTGTGGCTTGCTTTGGGGAGCTTTGGGAGCCAGACCTGGGAGAAAAGTGGCAGATATACTACAAAATTGTCATCCTTCTTGCTACTGCTATCTCAGAAAGCTAAAAAAATAAAAGCAGCACCCAGGCCAGTAGCTCAATTGTTTAGAGCAGCGGTTCTCAACCTGTGGGTCGCGAGCCCTTTGGGCGTCAAATGATCCTTTCACAGGGGTTGCCTAAGACCATCAGAAAGCACATATATAATTACATATTATTTTGTGATTAATCACTATGCTTTAATTATGTTCAATTTGTAACAATGAAATTGGGGGTCACCACAACATGAGGAACTGTATTAAAGGGTCACAACATTAGGAAGGTTGAGAACTACTGGTTTAGAGCATTTTCCCATCAGGTTACATACAAGAATCAACCAATGAACGCATAAATAAGTGTAACAACAAATCCATGTTTTTCTCTCTCTCTTCCTCTCTATCTCTAAAGTAAAATAAAATAAAACTTTTAAGCAGCACATTTTACATCCACTACAGCTGAACAGACCAGTATAGCAGAATTCCAGTGAACTAGGTCAGCCCCAAATTGCCCAAATATCTGTTTTTTAAAAGCCCTATTAAAAAATCCTGCTAATTAGGAAGTCACTGTAGCTGTAGATCAAGGACATCATTTATGCTTACTATGTTATTCTTTGCTTACTGTAGTGATTTTCAATATTTAACAAATTTTCAATTTTTTGTTTGTTTTTGTATTCCCCCACCTTCTGAGTTCATGATCCCACCCTAACACTAGATAGCCTTTTCTGATTGTGGCATTATAAAAATTATACAAATTAAACTTTATTTTCTCTTTTTTTTAAATTTTAGAATTTCTCAATGCTCCTCAAGACAACTAGAGATATATAAATCACAGTTTCACAGTGTCTTGGCCAAGGCTTTATGTAAAAATTTGGTTAACCCTGGTAATTGGGCAGAGGCATCTCTGAGCCCTGTTCTTCATGAGTCTCTGAAAATTGATACCAACTCTAAAGGGGAAGAGAAAGAAAGTCATAAGGTTGTTTGTTCTCAAAAGAGGCCCCCAGTCACTGTTCTTGCCTCTAGTCATGTCCATTCCTTGGGTGACGGAATTCACGAAGCAGGGTAGGTACGAATAATCACTGAGTGGGAACCCCAACTCAGAGCTTAAGGGAGGACTTTACTTCAAGGCTGGGGGAGGCAGCAATATTAAGAATATGCCCTTCTATGTTAAGATGTCTGCATAAAACAAGCATCTCGCAATGTTTTTAAAGGGTGGAAATTGAACTCTCATGTGCAACATAGAGCAGATAAGCTGGGAATATTTACAGAGTGACCAAGTGGTAAATTTTCACTACTGACTAATGAACTTCATTGATATCAGGTTATGTGGTTGGGTCTCAATCTCGATAAAGGAGTTTGCTGGGGTGTGTCAGATATGACACAGCTTTTTCCACAGTGATCGGTCTGGAAAGAGATTTCCACACCTTGAAACCAATATAAAGGGTAGGAGCTGCTCCAGGCAGACTCACTTGTTCCAGCACCTTCTTCCCTTCCGACAAAATGAAAACCCTTGTAAGTATTTGTTTATGCTTCTTTATACTCGTGTGGTAGCTGCCTGCAGAGAATGTTCGTATCCAATATGCCTTAGATTTCAGGGTTCTTAGATAAGCTTCTGGGATTGAGTTAATGATGTCTTTTTTAGGAATAGTGTTGAATATTAAGTCAAATATTTATTTGTTTATTGTCTTTATTTTGAAATGTTTACTGAAAATACAAAGAAAAAGTTTTGGAAATAACTAGAGAATTTTAATGTGGAGAATTTTTAGTAATAATTCTTATTATGAGCTTTGGAGGGAATGGAAGCATTTCAGGATAACTTCATTTACTATCTAAAAGAGAAGTGGTAATTTAAAATAATAACATTAAAATATTAACAACAATAATAATAGCAGAAGTTATTTCCAAGTGTATACTAGGCCCTATGCTAAACATATCACATGAATAATTTAATCTAGTTACTTCAACAACTCTGAGCTGAGTATTACCCCATTCTACAGATGAGAAGACTGAGACATGGAGAAATGTGATTTTCCCAAGCCATTGAACTTTGGATTTAGGCTAGAAATGTACCCATCTTAGGCCCCACATACAGGAGAATCCTGGCAAAGCATCCCTGTCATGACCCCCTATACCCCTCAGTCCAGCCCCAATCTCCCATAGTTCCTCACTACAGTGCTCCATGGCCAGTGGACTATGTTCTGTTCTATATCAGAATTCCTTGCCCCAGTCTCTATCCCTTATTCTCATTTAGAAGCCACGGGAGAAAGCAAAATGATAAGTACCTCCCTACAATGTGTTAAAGACTGTCAGCTTAAAGAGTTTCCTCTCCCAGGAGCCTCTTGATTTTCCAAGAGGAGACCTAACCGGAAGCACAGACCTATCGCTGTGGTATATTAATCACAGTGTTGAGTGGGTGGTTATTTGGAGGCAGGGGGCACTTCCTGAGCCCTCTCTAATCATACCACTAAGGTGGTCAGTCCTCCACCCACCTGTTCACGCCTCATTAATAGAATACATAGGAGTGTCAGAGGTTACTAGAACCAGCCTGGAGTCAGAGAAGATGTGTCCCTATGCAGATCAGTGGGTGGGATATCTGCATACAGGTCTTTGTCAGACACTCCAACCCCAGCCATCAGGAGAGAAATGTTATTGGCAATATAGAAGGGGCAGTAGAAAAGTCCCACTGACAGTTCTTAAAAATACCAGCCTTCCAGCAGATGCCCTCCAGCAGCAGTTTTCAATGATAGTGCGGTGCACTGTGATGTCAGAAGAGACAGCACAAAACCAGGATCAGAGAATTGGATTAGACTTTTACACAACTACAGCTAAGTGTCGGAACTGCCTCAGTGTCAGTTACATGGCCTGTAGCCTAACCTTTCTCTGATGGTAACACTAAGGCATAGGTTGTGGGAGAATAAGAGGGTTTTCCTTGATGTCAGCCTCAAAAGTTAGCCATGCCCCCAAGCATCTTATTTTCATATTTTCCCTTAAAAACCCATTGTGTCTATTGCCTGTGAATCCATGTTTAACGTGTTTTACTCTCTCATTTCCTTTTTTTTTTTTTTTGGTTAATCCTCACCCGAGGATATTTTTCCATAGATTTTCAAAGAGAATGGAAGGAAAGGGGAGAGACAGAGAGAGTGAAATATTCATGTGAGAGAGACACAGTGATTGGTTGCCTCCCACATGCACCCCAACCTGAGCTGGGGTCTGAGCCTGCAACCGAGATACATGCCTTTGACCAGAAACTAACCCGGGACCCTTCAGTCCAGGAACTATCCACTGAGCCAAATGGGCTAGGTCTCTTTTCCTTCTCTTTCTTTCTTTCTTTCTTTCTTTCTTTCTTTCTTTCTTTCTTTCTTTCTTTCTTTCTTTCTCTCTCTCTCTCTCTCTCTCTCTCTCTCTCTCTCTCTCTCTCTCTTTCTCTCTCTCTCTCTCTTACCAGAGGACACAAATTCACCTCTTGCAATCCAAAGCCAGAATGAACCACACCAGGGCATTCCCATAGTAAAATCAGTCATTTCTCACTGCTCCCCTGCCCTAAGTTCTTCCTGGCATAAGAACACATGCTATGTATCAGGTTTTGATGTTAGAAAGGGCTGGGAACTGGGTGACAAAAAATTCAATAAATACCTGTCAACCAAGTGAATGTGTGTGTGTTTTATACTTTGGACTATTGACCATCCATGACCACACACCAGTGTCTCTAGGTTATATTTTCTGAGATATTTATGCTTGTCCTGTCCAGTGTCCTCTCATGTCTCGATCTTCAATGATTACCTTATTGGGAATGAAAGTGACTGGTCTGTTTTTCAGGTGTTATTTCTGGTGGTGCTGGCCATCTTTGGAACACAGTCTCATGGATTCGAGGTGAGTTGATTCATGACGAACTTTCTAGTTTGGAGATGTTGGGAGAGGAAAAGGAAGATACAAGATAATCTGAAGGACAGTAGAGAGTCCATATGACCTATTTGGGATAGAATCCCAGAAATAACCAGTAATGGAAACAATGAGATTGAGTATTTCTTTCCAATGGCAATACCTTAAAAATGTAAACCATTGCTTTAAAATGTGGTCAATCTCATCTCTCCTGTGATATCATTGCTTCTCCCTTACAATTGTCCACTATGAGAAAGAGTTTTACATTCTTATTTTAACATGTGCTTTTGGTCTGGGTTCCCAGTGGAGAGGTTTTAGGCTTCAATTGCTTGTTCTTAGCAGATATAAGGCTCTATTTTGCTGGGAGGGATTCTTTCAAATGCATGTGATTTATAGAAAACCCATTTTGTCTTTGTGGCCAATCTAGGTTTTTAACATCATCAGCCCAAACAACAATGGTGGCAATATTCAGGAGACAATAACAATTGACAATGAAAAAAACACTGCCATCGTTAACATCCATGCCGGGTCGTGCTCCTCTACCACCGTTTTTGACTATAAACATGTAAGCTGCAAGGGAACGTTTATATTATTTGAATCCTATAATCTATCCTGCGAGTCCATCAGCATGTCCTTACTTCTGCTTTTCCTTTTAAATAATCAAGCTATTGATGAACAAACAGACAAAATCATTTCTGAGACAAAAGCATGACATAGGAAACATACACGTTTACTTGACCTTTTCAGGTGGAAATTGAAAGCATGATGATACTGTCTCGCTACAGGCTCAGAAAGAATGGACAAAGCCCAAAGCAATGCATAGCACTCAGACTCTAAAAACATATTTATCGAATAAATTGGGGCTTCTCATACAAAAATTGTTCAGAAAAAGAGCGATCATGAAACAGTCACAAATGACCAGAAATCCAGAACAGCTATACACATTTAACTCTACATGTAGGCTACACAATAAATCATGCTTCTTCTGTAAGCATGCTTCTTCTGTATGTTAATTAAAACACCAAACTATTTCCAAGTTTTAGTTACTGTTATTAACAAAAAATCTCAGAAACCTGCTCAGAAAACATATTCTGTCCTTTTCCCGTGTATTATTTGCTTGTTTTCTGGTTGTTCACTGTAACTATGAGTTTGCTTTTACTCAGGCACAACGCTATGCACTATGGATATGGGCAGGTTGTCGTCCATCTCACTGGATGTCTGGATACATTTTTCTTCTTGTCTTGTACAAGCATCCTCACATGTTTTCTCCCCATTGGTATTGGGAGTTCCAGGACACATTTGAAAGTATAGAGTCTTTGAAAAACATGGGTTAGAAGGAAGTTCTACTGAAATTGTTTTTAAGCAGATGTCAAGAAAATCCCAAAAGTGTCTTAAAAAAATGAAGTGGTGAGGATGTAAGCCTCTTCCATGATCATCACCATTGGTCTCAGTCTATTTTTGAATTTTAGGAACTGAAAATGTGTGAGAATTGAAAAATAGGAAGCAGAAGGGTTGATGTTACATACAGTCTTCTAGGCTGTTTAACTATTTGGAACTCTGAAGAGTACCACTCTAGATGAAGATTAGATGCTCTTAGGTTCCTTCTGGCTCCAAGGTCCTCACCCTCCATTGCTCTTCCAATTCCAACTTCTTCCAACCCATCCCTACCCAGCCAGCTTGGGTTAGAAGTGGAGAAAAGATGGAGAGAAGGTGGTAGAGAAGGGAAGAATAGATGAAGCAAGTGTGTATGGGGGATGAGGGTGGGCATGGGTATGTTAAGGAGAGTTTCTATACCAGCACTGTCCAATGGAACTTTCTGCAATGGTGGAAATGTTCTACATCCGCATTTCCCAAAAGGGAAGCAGCTGGCCCTTGTGGCTATGGAGCCCTTGAAGACAACAATCTACCTATATCCATAGTGCACAGCTCTGTGCCTAGGTAAAAGTGTGACAGAGGAAGTAAATTTTCAATTTTATTGAATTTAAATTTAAAGAGCTACATGTGCCTAATAACTAACATATTGGAAAGCTCAGTTCTTAAGAATATTGTATGTACTCCAAATCAAGGGGAGGCTGCACAAAATCAGTAGAGACAGAGAGCTGCTGCTTCTCAATCTTTCAAATTGCAAACTGTAGACCCTCATTCCATAACAAATCATGTGGCCCACTTTTCAGAGATAGAGATAACAAGTAAAGAAATAAAAATACTATGTCAAAGAAGTTGAATGGATAGGATTTATTGCAGATTAAAAATCAGTCATGTGCACTCACTGTGCATGTTCAAGGCTTTCTCAAGGTCCACACATCGTTCTCACCAAGTTCAGAGTCCAGGGAATTGGGAGGGGCAGTAACTGTGCTCTTGCTGCCTCAGGGTTACATCGCATCCAGGATCCTCTCCCGAAGAGCCTGCTACGTCATGAAGATGAACCATGACGCCATCCCTGCTCTGGACCAACTCAAACGGTTCATCTATGAGAGGAAGGTAATTCTGGAGTGGCCTTAAATATTCCATGTTCTTGAGCCAGGCAAAACTGGTGACTATGGAGAAATGAAGAGGGTAAGGGATCATAATTTGATATCTTATTACTATCCACTTATTAGAGTATTTTCACATGTATAGTTTTTGATGCAGGAGTACATCTCTTAGCTTGATTTCTACCATAGAGCCCCCAATACAAGAACTTATAGTAAATCCCATTGTTTCTGTAGAAAGGACTGCACAGCTTCTCTTTTCAGAGCAGGGATCTAAGAAAGAGTGAAGGGCAAAGAAAAGGAGTGAAGTTATAATATTCAATGACACAACATGCAAAGAAACAATATAGTATAGTGAGAATTATAAAAAACATCATGAAGCTGGACATCTGGGGTTTAATTCTCCCTCCCATTTGTGCCACCTTGGGCATAGGCATCACCCTATCTGGGTTTCATTGTCATCACCAGCAAAATAATATTGGTAATAATGAGGATTCTCTGAAGACCAAGTGGTCAGGAAGAGAAGATGTCTTGAGATTCCTGACCACCTTCTACTTAATAACCTGAAAGAAAAAAAAGTCACAGTTGAGAATGAGGTACACCAGATTGTGTCAACGTATTTTTATCCAGTCCCACTCTATTATACTGATCTAGGCTCTGCAGACCATGTCCTCCACCGACTATACCTGGGTCAAGTACAACCCGCTGCAGTCTTGGTTCACAGACATGAAATGGTTCTTTTTCGGGTCACCCATCGAGCAGCTCTGCAAACACCTCCCCTTGTACAAGGCAGAAGTGGTTGAAAAGCCACGTGAGTACCAATAAATCATTCCTTCACCCAATATTTTCTGAAACCTCTAATGTGCCAACACTTTGCTAGGTGTTGTGTGAAATACAAATATAAAACATGACTCAATCTGGTTTGCTTTGGGAATTAAATACTGACCACATGTGGACATTGTGCTAAATGTTAGGAGAGATACAGAAATGGATAAAACTCCGCCCCCAAGAAACATATAATCTGGTGGGGAAGTTGACCAGTTAACACAGAGAATGGAATAAAAAAAGATTCCTGGGTGTCAAGGAAAACCTGAGGCATGTGCCCTGACCAGGAATTGAACTGGTGACCTCTGAGTTCATGGGTCGCTGGGCTTTACTGGTATTTTTATGCATAGTTTCTAAATACGGAAGAGAGGCCAGAGCCAAAGAGGCTGGGCCACAGATGTTGCACACAACAACACAAATTCCCCAGAGTTGTGGGAGGTAGATAAAGATGAAAAGAATTAGCATTCAATACATTTCTACTGCCCAGAAAAAAAATTTACTTAAGACATTTTTCTTTTAGTAAGGTCATTAGCTTTTGTAAGTAAAGACACATAGCATGGCATTAATGCAGAGCATCAATTGAACGGAGCCGGACATCTCTTCCAGGAATTGTCCGTCTATTTAAGCTAGGATATTATTATCCTTTGCAGTATGTGTATAGCTAAAATCTTGGGTAACGTGAAATTACATGTACAACCCCTGTCAAGACATTTACAAAAGGCTCTGATTTGCTGCATTCCAATAATGTATTTCTTAATCCTCTTTCTTCAAAATGTTCCCCCTTTTCAGATGATGCCGGTGCTCATGGCTGCGTAAAGGCTGGCCTCCTGGGCATCCTTGGGATTTCCATCTGTGGAGACATCAATGTTTAAGTATCGGCCCACTGGTTGCATCTTTTCAAAGAAATACGCCCTTTGGTTTCACCTCAGAAGACAAATTAAATTCTTTCCAAAAACCCCAACTAATTTTGAGATTCAGTAGTAAAACATAAATACAACATTTACAGCTATCTGAGTGTTTGCTTTTTTTTGTAAATAGCAAAGGGGTGCCAACTGATGTTTATGTCTATATATAGAAGGAGAGAAATAGCCAGGATTTCAAGTCAAGTACACAAAGTGTGAAAAATTCCAAATAATATGGCTGGGTCACATACAGGCTCGTTGTGGGTGCAAGTCTCCATCTTTGCATCTATTCACTGACCAGCTGCCCCTTTGTCTGCCCAACATCCTAGGGCAGCCCAGGGGGGAGCAGGGGCTCAGGTGGCACTAACCTCCACCTAGTGAAGGGGCATGGATTTGGGGTACCCTTAGCAAAGACTTGACTGCTCAGATGAAGGAAACTATCCCCTCTGACAAAGCACTAAGCTTTGAGGGCCATTCACATGCCTTTTAGCTCATCAACACAGTAGACTCACCCTTAATAAACACTATCATGATGTATTTTGTCCCAGGAGAGAGGGAGGTTGGAACACCCTTCACCCAGGGAACTTTTGCTGAAAATCTCAGCAGAAGTAAGAACCTGCCTTGGAATGCCAAGACCCTATATAGAAGGGAAGCAATTTCCGATATGACAAAGAAATTGCATAATGTGGGCAAATTTCCAGATCATGTAGCTCAGTGGTTCTCAACCTTCTGGCCCTTTAAATACAGTTCCTCATGTTGTGACCCAACCATAAAATTATTTTCGTTGCTACTTCATAACTGTAATGTTGCTACTGTTATGAATCGTAATGTAAATATCTGATATGCAGGATGTCTTAGGCGACCCCTGTGAAAGGGTCGTTCGACCGCCAAAGGGGTCGCAACCCACATTGTAGCTGGTTCTCATGTTGACTGATCATCAACTGCTCCTATTCCAAACACTGTACTTCTTTGTTTAAAATATATTTTTATTGATTTCAGAGAAGAAGGGAGAGGGAGAGAGAGATAGAAACATCATTGACGAGAGAGAATCATTAATTGGCTTCCTCCTGCACCCCCCACACTGGGGATCGAACCCACAACCTGGGCTTGTGCCCTGACTGGGAATCAAACCGTGACCTCCTGGTTCATAGGCCAATGCTCAAACACTGAGCCACACCGGCAGGGCCTAACACTGTTCTTCTTAATAACCATTACTGAATACATTTAAAGCACTTACAGTGGCTCAGCACTGGGTTAGGCATGCTAGAGGAAGGGGCCCAAGACAAAACTGCCATAGACAATAAAGTTATTTTCTTGTTGGGGAAGTGAGAAATTTATCTAAAACATTTGTAACAATAGTAAAAGAGTATACATTAAAGTGCAAAATGAATGATAGAGTGTACTAGCTGGAATCTTAATGTTTGCAAGTGATAGAACCCAAATCTAATTCACAGAGGCTAGATGCAGTGGAATTCATTGTCCCAGCTTAGTATAGGAGGATAGGGATATTCTGGTCTTGGGTGGCTAGAGTTGGGAACTTTAAGGTGGCCAGACTCGTTCCCTCCCCTACCCATCTCAACATTCTTTCTCCCTCCACATTAGCCTCAGAATCTTACATTAGCTTTCTCCAGGAGAGCAGATGCCACAAGGTCCCCATATTCCCAGCATCATTGTCAGAAAGAAAGAGACTCCTCTTGTTTGAATTTCAAATTTAAAATCGTCTGGAAGGGACCATAACAGAATAACTTAGGGGTACATACTTATTCCTGTGGCCAGGATTGGTAGGGGTGGGGGTGGTAAAAAAAGGGTATTTTAATTGTTAACTTCCTTTGGAATCCAATGCTCAGAGATGTATTATTCTCGTCAATGTTTATAATGATACTAGAGGCCTGGTGCACAGATTCGTGCACTGGTGGGGTCCCTTGGCCTGGCCTGTGCCCTCTTGCAATCTGGGACCCCTTGGGGGATGTCGGACTGCCAATTTTAGCCCAGTCCCTGCAGGTGGTCAGTGCACGTCATAGCTACTGGTCAGACGGTCGAATGGTTGTTTAGGCTTTTATATAGAGAGATTCCCACTCTTAAAACGAACTTGTGAGTTCTACTCTTTCATGACTGCTTTCTCTAAGTCAGTTAATCCTGCTCAGCCTTGGCCTGTCACATCTGATACCTCCACTCTGAATGTGTTTATGCACATATCTCCACCTTCCTCATCCTTAACAAGCTGCATGCGACCAAATCCTTAGGTTCCAAGCATCTGGTCTGTCCAACCACACCCTAATTAAGCCCAGAGGTTTATCCTGGACCTTTCTCTGCAATTGCCTTTCCATTCATGGCTGTAGGTAGCCACACCACATCATACTTTACAGCGCTGGTGCTCAGCTCTGTCTCCTGCAAATTGGTGCTGAGATCACCCAGAGTTCTCCCACTCGCTGCACTCCTCCCCACTCCCTGGCCAATCCCATCCCAGTCCCACTCTATTTAAAGTGCTCCAAACTCCAACACAACCTCTGTGGCCATCTGCATCTGTATCTTCAATAGTCCTTCCTCTGTTTATTCTTGTATCTAAGGTAAGGGGAGCCAGGGATGTTCTGTGTAGTGGGAATGGAGCTGTCTCTGTCCCTCCCAGCCCCAGTAATGGACAGTTAAAGAACCAGTGCTAAGAGACCAGGCCCCTTACTCATTTGTTGCAGAGAGAAATGGCTAGGACTTACCACTATGGTATCTAAACCACTAGGAAGGTATAGACCAGTTCTAAGGGGAGGCCTTGGAGGTCTAATTTCACTTGGATCTCTCTTAGGGGTTTGCATGGTGCAGGCTGGGTTACCATGGCGAATAGGCTTTCGTAGAAACTTAGCACCAATTTGCAGGAATCTGACATATGGCCTCAGACATTACAGATTGTCTATGCTGTGGCTAGCATCTTTTTGTTATTTATTTATCAAGGTCTTATTTACTAGTGAGGGACACCCTAAGAGAGGCCTTTAGAGTTGACACATTCTGGGAGAGGCCCCTCCTCCTGCACACCATACAGGCATGCAGTTTTGTGGAATGCATGTGGAGGGGGATGCCAGTAACTCGAGAGAGGACAGTGCAGGCAGGAGGGCTAGACCATCATCTGCTAGACCAGTGAGGCAAGAAACTTTATTGTTCTGACCCAGAAGGAGAAACTGTACCCAAAGTTCCAGGTTACAAAGCTGGATCTTGGGTCAAAAGATAGAAGGTAGAAACAAGGAGCTTTTTATTGGCAGATGGGAGTGCTGAGCCCCTAAGTGCTGGTTTCAGGCCAGTAGCCCCGTCTAGGCGGGTCCATTCTCCACATGGCGGACCTGGAGCTTCAGAGCCCAGGGATCTCCCCGCAGATGGAGATCCCCATAAAGTACAGAAGTTGGATTTCAAAACATGAATCAGGGTCCACTGACAGCGCGGTACCTTTAAGAAGAAAGAGGAGCATTTTACAAAATAATTACTCAATCACTTTCAGACCTCAAAGTAGAGTGGATATCTTACATCCTGCACCTAAATCGATGTGATGCTCAGGGGAGCTTTACTACCAAGAGGCTAAAATAGGACTAAAATGGGAGCTCTCCCTTGTGCTGCAAAATGGGCCCCGCATCCCCCCTTTCTATTTCTACTGACCTGTAATCATACTCCCAATCCCCAGCCCCTCAAGTTCTCCCTGTTTTTCCTGCTGGATCTTCTTGTTATGAAAAAGCCTTGTTCATTGGGTTAATTTATACTAAGATGTAAGTGACTGGCACTAGCCTAATGGGAAAAGATTACTGACTATATCTGGAGTAGCAGGTAGTTTTGAGATATTATCTAGTAGCTTTTCAAGCCGACCACCACTGATCCCCACCACATCCCCAGCAGGGGAGCCAGCCTCTGAGGTGCTCCTTCCCCAGTGCAGTCTACAACTTCTAGGGTCCTGCATTCCAACCTCTGGGAAGCCCGAGAAAGAGGAGGACTGAGAACCCCAAAGCGATGGACCTGTAATGGTGTGACATCAGCCACTGGGTGACTTGGGCAGGAGTTGATGAAGCTTTGGGTTGAGTGAGGGTATCTACCAACTGTCAAATGATGAGATGGCGGCCCTCAACCATCTGGGAAAGCTAAGTAAACTCTGCTTCCTGTTCTCAGTGAGCCCTGATGACAGCAGATCATCTCTGCCACCAGGGAAAATATATCCCAGGCCACATTACTTTTCTACTCAGTAGCAAAGAAATGGTATAGACCCAAAAAATGTCATTAGAATTGTCCAATGACCTAAAAATTGTATTGCACCTTTTGTCTCACCAAAGGTCTTTGGTTTCTAGTTAAATTCCTAACACACCTTCTTTTTGCTGCTGGGCAAAGTAGGTAGGGACCTCTCGGCACATGTCCTGGATAGCCATTCCGTACTGTGCCAAGTTCTTGACCCGGGTGGGTAAAACAGTGTAGGTCAGGCCACGTGTGGATGGATAATGCTTTAAACCCTGGAAGAGGTGGTATTTGAAAGTGGTGAGACGGTATATGGAGATGGTACAGCAAGGAAGAAGAGACAAGGAACGTATTTCAGCATACTTGGGTGATTCATTTTACAGAAATAGCTGTAAACCCAAACTTGTCCTTGTGTTTTGTCTTTAGCTGCAATATCTTCTCTGGCCACAAGGTGATGATATTACTCCAGAAAAATCTGTGAGTGAGCCTGTGTGTCTTTGTTACTGGTTTTGTATTTCTTTACCCTTCCTAATTCCACAACTTTCCAGCCTCCATAGCTTTTCTCAGCAGTGATGATAATATAGAATAGTTTTAAAATTATGTGTCATTTGTATATTAAGTTTTTACTAGCTATAAACCAGAGGAGTGGACAACTTCCTACCTCTTTTTCTATGTGACCCAAAGTGCATTTTTTCCCAAGTTCAGTGATTCTCCTGCCATGGACATGGATGTTGCTCAAATGATCTGGGCAGGTTACTAAAGCAAATGGCAGC